ACAAAAAAAAACAAAAAAAAAAAAGGATACACACCGAGGACGAAAAGCTGTGCTTCAATCCACTATTCCTTGAAGACCCAGAAACCTTTTCAGTTGTCCTCCCCTCAGCGTAAGTTGTTTTCTGAGACATTGCTTTCTCGAGCGCTCGCTCACGAGCCTCCACTGTGGCTCTTTCTACAGCAGCACGTTCAGCCTTAAGCTTGGCTTCATTGGAGGATTTCTCCACTGTTTGCTTCACATGAGAAGACTTCTCAACCTTCTCCCGGGCCTCCGCCATCGCCCTTTGACGAGCTTCAGTGGCTGCTCTCTCCACAGCAGCTCTTTCCGCCCTTTCTCGGGCTTCAGCAAACGCTCTTTCACGAGCTTCACGTATGGCTCTCTCGACTGCTAATCTGTCCTTTTCGCGCTCCCGTCCCCTCTTGATGGCTTCTATTCTTTGCTGGTAATCATCTTTGTCTGAGTTCTGTGGATTTGCTTTGCTGTCCTTAGCTTCTGTGGTTGAGGTTTTACCAAGATTCTCCTTGTATTCACTTTCCACAGGTTTTTCCATTTCGTTGGTGTCTTTAGCTTTCATGCTTGAGATTCTAACAACATTCTCATCATTGTCTTCACTTTCCATAATGTTTTCCATTTCTTTGGGTCCTACATGTGACTGAGAATGTATCTTTTCGCTTTGTTCTTCAGCAGGTTGGCTCTCATTAGAATTCGGTTCAAGTTCATCTTTTGGTAGTTCATTGGCAAGGATTCTGTCATTTGTACCTTCTGCACATTCTTCAGATTCTTGAGCAGAAACCCTGTCCATATTTTCAAGGGTGGAGGTTGATACAAAATTTCCTCTGTCACTCGTGCAAGTTTGTTCTGCCACCTGTCGTACATCCGTGACATCAAGTTCTGATGAATGCGTATTGGATGAATTGAACTCAGGTGGATTTTCTCCACTGATCTTAGATTCTTGAGCAACATCATGAATCTCACTGGTTTCATAGGATAAACCGTCATCTTCCGGTAGTTGCCCTTGAGGATCTGCATCATCCATGACACCAGCATTTTCCAGCTTGCCGTCAGAAGGAAGATTATCAAAGGTATTATGCAGTTTGCTCGCAAGAAAAACCTCCTCGGAGGCAACTCGGCGCAAGATTTCTGTTCTGGAAAAATCATTAATATCGTCGAGGTCAAACGAAGGCTCAACCTTCGTGTCCTTATGCGTTCCAGAAAATGATTCAATTGCTTCGGATGCAGAATCATTTTCTTTGAAACTCTTATGACTTTCATCCGAATTCTTCTCCAAATCAAAACCACTGCCTGCTTCTTGATTCTCATTGATGTCGGTGCTATTATCATAAATTTGGGCCTCACTGAAGATGGTGCCGGAAGAACCACTATCCAAATCAACAGCTTCAGCAATATGTTCCTCAAAAGCATCCTCATATTGAAAATTGTTCAGTTTTTCTTCGATTATGTCATTAGTTTCCTCTGAATCATATGAAAGTGCGATCTTCTGAATTCCAGCACAGTTATCGGCCCCAGTGGTCATTGTCTCAGGTGATTCGCTCTCAGAAGTGTTCACACGTATCTCTTCAGTAATTTCCTGCTCGCGCTCTTCAGGTAATTCAGGCTCATTTCTATCAAGAACATGATTCTGTTTTAGGTTGTCATTTTCTAGCTCAAGAGTCTCAATAAATCTCCTATTGTCAACCACTTCTTTTTCTTGAAAGACAACAGGCTGAGGGTCAGTCTCATCGTTTTCTTCCTTCAGGGATTCCTTGATCTGCTCTTCACTTTCGAACCATAGGTAAGCCTCTTCATCATTAGTTCCTTCAATATATCCATTTTCTTTGTTCTCAGAGACAATTTCTGATTCCCTCTCTGTCTCAATTTGTGCTAGAGTTTCATTCATTCCCAGATTAGACGAGTCTTTAAGAAAATTCAGAAATGTGAGTTGTTCTACAGTACTCATTTCCTCACGCATCTCCTTCCCTTTATCATCCATGTCATTTCCTCTCTCCTCAAAAACATCATCCTCTTGGCTGATTCTCAGACATTCACCAGTGTCACCAAAATCCTTATCCAGTTTTTGAGTCCTTTCAGAAGTATTAATAACCCTCTCAACCTTACATTCTGGTTCTTTTACATGATTCAGTGGCAGGTGCCACTGTTCAGCTTCCCCCACACTCTTTCCCAGCTCTTGCATTCTTTGAGATGCATCGAAAGCTCTTCCAGGTCCTTCTGTACAAAGGATGGTAACTTCTTCTTCCAAGTCATCTTCGACAGTTTCCAAACACCCACTGCGAGATGCAAGTTTGCTGGTGGACACCAAATTTGCAGAGTTAGACTCGTTGGCCACTAATATAGGAAAACCACTTCCTTCATTATCATTGCACGTCTTGGCTTCTTCAACACTTCTCCCAGTCTTTCCCAATTCAATCTTTTCATCCATATAAAGCGAGTCCCTCTGACTGACATTCGATGAGAACAACTTACCGCCTTCTGAGAAAGCCCTTCTATGTTCCTTAGCTTCTTCGGCATTTTTCCATACCCTTTTTACCTCAATAGGTGGAGCACTAACAAATGTATCATCGTGACTGAAGGATTGAGTGAAGTGTACATCAGTCCCGTCAAACATAGCATGCGTACGATCTAATTCTTCATCTTTTCTCTTAGTATTGTTCTTTCTGGAACCATAAGAATCATTATCAACCTTATCTCCCTTCTCCGAAACTTTCGAGCGGGCCTTTGCGCTAGGCTTAGGACCATTCTGAAGATCTTTTTTCCTGTCCATGATCATTTTGGCGATTCTTATACTTTCTTGAGCCTGGTCCATGGCTCTCTTCAAGACAGCAACAGATTCAGCAGCAACTGAATTTTCACCAAAATCGTCACCAAAGTAAGGTGGCCAAGAATCACCACCAGCAATATTTTCTGGCACTTCTTTTTTCGAAACAAAATCTGATTCCCTTGATCGCCCAGGATGCTTACCACCGTTCGTCTTAGGTGGACAACTTGAAGGTGGAGGAACTTTCGAGAAGTTTGGTTCAAGACTAACGCCGTCTGTGTTGTGCGACTTTTCAGGTACATGTGAGTTCTTGCTTTTTAATCCACCTTCACTCTTAAAACCTCCGACTTCAGCACTGAAGCTCCAGGTTCGACTAACTTCACGTTTTATTGAATTCATAGTCTTTCCTTCATTCATTTTTTGCATCCGAGGATTTCCATCGACAAAACAAGTAAACCCAGGAACAGCATGGAGCTGTGCTATGTGTGTTTTCCCATTTGACTCATCGGTATTTATTTGGGTTGTTTTATTGAAAGACATGTTGAACTGTTTATTAACCCCATCAGCAGATATATCAGAGGCCTCCCCACATGACATTTTTGGCTTTCGTGAAGCGTGTGCAGAACCTGATTCTTCCCCACGTTTTGTATTCCTGCATTAGATGTATTAAGAATTCAGAACAGGCAACACAGCAATGAATTATATTCCAATAAAGAGATACGTGCAGTAAAAAGAAACAGCTTTGCCAATTAAACAAATTGGTCATGTTTGTTTCAAGAAATTCATGTACTTTGAGCTTGCTTATTTTCCGGTGGAAAAGGATAGGAAGATTGATCCTTGCAGTTCACTTTTCTTGGCTTGGGCAAACTACAAAATGTTGGCCAGAGATAGTATCCAGCGAAGGCTGATATGCTATCCATACAGTTAGCAGAACTAGTGCAAGTTCGAGTTATAGATTTTAAATGATAAGAAAATCTTCATGTAACGTACAAATTAGAATTTTGAATGTGGTTGAAAATGATAGTCATATAGAAACCTATTATACAAGTTTGGTAACATTGGTACCAAGTTTACTTTTTAGTTTACTTTTTACAATTTGATTTTCAGATAGCAAGTAATGTTGTAAGAGAATCCAATGAATTGCCCATATAATAATTATTATTGTAGTTCTTATTCTTATAATCATTCTTTGGGGGTGGGGGTAAAAGAACAAATTTCTTACGTCATGCATTCATCGTACACCACGTGGCATAATGCACTAAAGCTCAATCTCTATTAGCACTCCGTCGCAAAATAAATAGCATTAGACAAAACAACATTTATGTAAAAGAAGATACTCTGAAACATGTACTACAAATCCAAGATAAAGCTATATATATATAGGTCTTGAGAGACAATCAATTATGTGACTGCCAAAAGAATTAAGGTCCCTGTAATTAACGAAAGACCATAGTCTTATTAATATCATCACTAATTCATTGACATATTTTTATCAAAACTTACCCCAGCCAATGGAAACATTCGTAGGAATTAAATATACATTAGGGTGCCAAATGCAGGTAAAAAGTACAGACACCGACATTAACAACTAACATAGCCCGATTTAACCAGATAAGCCCACCAAAGAGTTAACACTTGTCGCCAACTAAAACCCTACAATAATGTGCCCCATTAATGGTAAAGAAAAGAAACAGAACAAAACTACACAGCACTTACAATTTCCATTTCTACCTTCTAGCTTGCTGTCCTTAAAACTAAGAGAAATGCCAAAGCTACAGAATTGGCAAAGTTAACAAAAAAATCAAAAGACTTAGGACGTACATATTAGATTTTTGCATGCATAGATGAAAATAATTCCTACAAAAATTTAATCATGTCAGCTTGCCAACAATGATATCCAGTACACAATTCACATATTACCATATCAAACATGTTCTTAGAACGGGAAGCCAGGAAACATATTTATTTTCAGATTTTAAAAGATAACGCACACGAATCCGAAGAGTTCAACTTTACAAACATACTTCTAGCAACCCATATAAGCATGCATTTATTAGAATAAAAGGAAAGGGAAATGAAAAATAAAGTCACAAACCAACTGGCAACTTCAAGATTGCAACTGCCACGTCATGCGGTATAATGCAGATATGAAGTTAAAATCATTTCATCGCAAAAAGAAAGAGCTATAAACTAAAAAACATTTATATTCTAGGCCATGAACGTTGGTTATCATGAAAGACAAATCACATTAATACAGAAGCAAAGTTTAAACAAAGTTATACGTCACATGACAGCCAAAAGAAGTAACAGCCCATAATCACCTAGTCAGAAGAATCACATATAAAATTATCAGGACTTGTAAACCGATTAAAATCAAAATTTATCCAGCCAATGGGAGAGCCTTCATAAGAATAATATCAAATTTACGGCTGCGTGCCAAACGTAGTTATCAACACCCTCATTTAACAACTACCAACTGGCAACTTCAAGATTGCAACTGCCACATCATGCGGTATAATGCAGATATAAAGTTAAATTCATTTCATCGCAAAAAGAAAGAGCTACAGACTATAAAACATTTATAATCTAGGACATGAAGTTCGGTTATCATGAAAGATAAATCATGGTAATATAGAAGCAAAGTCTAAACAAAGTTATACGTCACATGACAGCCAAAAGAAGTAACGGCCCAGAATCACCTAGTCAGAAGAATCGTATATGAAATTATCACGACTTGTAAACGGATCAAGATCAAAATTTATCCGGCCAATGGGAGAGCCTTCATAAGAATAAATTCGAATTTACGGCTGCGCGCCAAACGTAGTTATCAACACCCTCATTTAACAACTAACACAACTGACATAATCAAATAAGCCCAACAACTAAATTCTTGTAGCCTACATTACTAGAAACTGGTAAACTACAAGGATAGAATAGAGTTTCAACAGATTTATAGAAAGTAGTTAGCAATTTTTTCCCCAACATGTGAGCATACATACTATTAAACCAACAATACAACAATCTTTTTTTTTTTTTTTTCAAAGAAGAAATACATAAGCATCTTTTTTTATGGATAAGTGCTTAGAAGCACAGGTAGTGAACCCGAACACAGCCACATAACATTACATTACTTACTCAAGAAGAGCAAACAAAATACAAAAAACCACAGATTTTGAAACAAAAAGATTCAATTTTTAATTTTCCTTAAGCCATAAAGGAGGAAAGTGGAAGCTCACCGCAGCTTAGTTTTCTTGGCAGAACCACTGAAAAGCTCCTCATACGGCAATCCGACATCGTCATTCCTAAATCCGCCAAAAATGTTGTTGTAATCGAGCTTCGAACTACGACAATCGGCCGACCCTACCTGCTCGTCCAGGCCCGAAAGGTCAAGCACGGGGATGGAAGAAGACCCAGAGAAAATCTCTGCGTAGTCGCGAGCTCCCAACGACTCCCTCTCGCCCACAGTCGACAGGAAAACGTCGTCGTACGGGTTCTTGAACGAGAAGCTGTTCTTGCTGGAGTGCTTTCTTCTGTGCTGAGCTCTCGACATTGACTCCATGGAAATGGAAAGCGAGAGAAGCTTTTTGGGGAAGCTGTCTTTTGGGGATTAGGGTTTTGCTGTTCAATCTTTGTTTGTTGTTCTGTGAGGGACTCTCTCTGTACTCAGCCGAGCAAAAAGACGAGTAAGACAACACGAAGACGAAGGAAGAGAGAGAAAAATCAGTGTTGTGAGAGAGAATTTTTTATTTTTTTATTTTTAAGAAATTTTATGAGTGGGTCCGATGTGCGGATGGAATTGGGTATAGCGGGTCTAGGTGTGCCAACCGCGTGGTAATCGGTACGTGGCGACTTTTTTCCTTTTCTTTTTTATTTTTTGTTAATTATTTTTATTTTATATTCGTCTATAATTGAAGAACCGGATAGTGGAAAGGACCAGTCAACCCTACCGATTCATGATTTTCTTACCGAAACCGGCCCTTGGTCAACGAGCCCGGACCTGATCCAGTAGTATGATTGGGCCAATTCCAAGTCTTGTGTATAATTGTTTTTACCCGGCAGGCCGAGCCAAACCCAACCTTGGGACGGTCTGACGTGTCTTCAGAGTTTTTTTTTTTTTTTTTTGAATTGGGTCGTCGGGCCAAGCTGAACCCGCACTACCTGATCGTTGGCTCAAATTTGATGTGGGTTGTCGAATGTATTTGACCGTTGCACGTGAGCTGGAAATGTGGTGGTGGTCATAAGCGAAGATATTTTTGTTATGACATGTCATGTCTTATTTGAACATGTTTGAAATATTATGTTTTGGTTGTTGCTTGCTTGTGTTGTTTGAACTTGTACTTGCTTTTGTATTCAGGACAATATTTCAGAATCCAGAATTTCAATTTATGCATGCCTAATTCCAGTATCGTGAAGTGTCCGGGGGGACTTCCTCGGTTGGATTCTCCTCCGCCAGTGGCGTGCATATGGTTACATCATGATATGATCGGCATGTCCTATCCTAGGAAAGTTCTAAGATAGTTTCGTTTCGCAGGCGTTGCCTCCTTTTCCTATACCAAAACAAAAAAAAAAAAATTAATATCTTTCATGACGCCTATTAGAGTAATGAATTTTACTTAGTTGCATGCATAGTAGTAAGGGAGAAAGAGATCAGATTAGAGTTGAGTAGCATCTCGCAGATTAAATTTAAAGTATTTTCAAAAAATTAATAAGAGTTCTCAAAAATTAAATCAGTATTTTCAAATTATTGCGCGAAAAATTTACTCTGATTTTAGTAATTTAGCCGGAGTGTTACAGTTTGGTATCCAACTGTCTATTTTCTCTAATCCAGTCCGGTCGGGGTTTGACCAACCCGTCAGAGTCCAACGGTCGCCATGTAACAATCAAATTTTCAAACCTGACCGTTGGATCGCCTTGACTCGCTGGGTTGACCCGCACCCAACGAGTCCATAAATAAAGGAAATCGAAAGATTGAATTTGAAAAGAAATCTGAAAAAAATAAATTATAAATACCCCTCTCCCATTCATCAGATTTTTCACCTCTCTTTCATCTACCTCTGTTCTCTACTCATTTCTAAGTTCTTGAAGTGCTAATTATTTAGCTTTTGTGCCCGATTTTATACAAAACGGTCCGATTATATATAAATACGGTCTGAAACTCCCGATTCTATATATTCACTCTCACTCCAGTTCCGATTTTATAAATTCTTTACATAATACTATTTTTTTCTAATTCTATCATTTTTCACCTCTCTTTGTTATTTGATAAAAACTACTCTAGGTATAAAATGTCGAGATTTCGTTGTGGTGGTCGTGGTGGTGGTCGTGCCAGTGATCGGCCACCGTGAAAGCATAAAAATGCAGGCGAATCTTCTTTGAGTAGACCTCCATTAACGATACTGAGACAAACGTTATACCAGGACATTCTGGTCTTTTCAATGACGTTCTACCCGAGACGTTCCAAGGCATCATTCACTATATTGAGAAAATCTACGAGAGCATACAATTGGAGGAGGAGAACTAGGAGCAACCGTATGAAGACGACTTTGATCTTACTCAAGGTGGAGGAACTCAACAACCTCAAGGGACTCTGACGGCCAGGCCGGATGGCGGAAGGATGAAATTCGAAATATTGGCACGCCACTTCACGATGTTGCCCAATGAGCATTTCTTATGTATTTGCAACCTTTGTCCGGCTAACTCCAATATGAAGTACGCTTTTACAACCGATGATGAGTATGGAACATTGACACAACACATAGAACATCATCATCCGGCCGAATGGGGATCCCAACGACCCAAATGCAATTTTCGGGCGGTGGCGGCGCGCGAGTAGCCATGCATCAACATAAATTTCTTCTACTTTATTTCAATACTCACATGAAAACCATAGAAAACAACTAGCTGAATTTGTTTGTGGTCTGTCTTTTCCTTTCGGCTTTGGCGATTCTAATTTATATGAAAATTTTGCTCAAATGGATTTAAACCCAACTTCATCTCGGCTTTTACGTATCACTCTCACTCGTGATATTCAAAAAATTGTGAGGGAGAAAAATATAATTTTGGCGCAAATTTTTGAAGTATTAAACCAAAGAATTTCTATTTGTTGTTACATTTCGACTTACCATTGACAAGATAATTTTTACATAGGAATTACTTGTCATTGGGTGGATGATATTTACAAAAACGTTTAATTGCTTATATGGGATTTCCTAATGTTCACACTGTTGCTAATACCGCTCGTTTAGTTTCACGTGTCTTGAATAGTTATAGAATTGGTTAAAAAGCTTTTTCCATTTCTTTTGATTATGGTGGTGCTAATATTGCATCTATACTCGAGCTTAAGGAAATTTGTCGTCTCCTTTGTGGAGAATTTTTTTTTCATATTCGGTGCATGTGTCATGTATTTAATCTTTGTGTTCAAGCGGGTTATCATGCATTCAAAGGCACAGTCACGCCATTAGGTGTGTTGTTAATTATTTACATATTCGTCTTCAAGAATTGAAAAAGTTGGGACAATATTGTAAAGAACAAGGTCTTCCAGTTAAACAATTCTAACCAAATGTTCTTACCTTTTTTTTTTTTTTT